TAGTGGTTTTATAATTTGATTATACTATATTTAGAAAGCATATAAGTCATTTCAAGCCTTATTCATACAGGTTTGTTGAATAGGAAATACGTCAGAAAATATTTTTATCATATTTGTACTGTGTACTTGAGCTTGTGTACTCAAAAGTGACTACACCTCAGCAATTTAAAACTATTTTCACCAGAAAGGTGAGATTAACTTTCTTGGAGTATGCAGCATTACTGGTTATTCTTTATGGTCCTCTCATGATAAATAATTACTTTTTAGATTACATGTAGTTACATTTAACTCCGCTCCTCCATTTCCTGGTTTCAAAAATTATAATAGTTAGCCTAATTTCAGTTTATTTGACAAAACAAGCAGTCATAAACCACTGTGAAATATTATTTCCATAACTACAAATATTGTATTTTCAGCTGTTTGAAGCTGGTGTACAACACCGAATGTAAAAGACGCAAAAACTAAACTTGAGAACGGGACGCATAGAAATAGCGCACATAGAACTGATCTACCGCTTCTTAGACTGGCTTTCAATGAGAATGACAGATCTCTAACTCACACTTCTATGTGAATTTGGTCAGGTCGCCCAAAAAGTTACATATTGCAGCTTTAAAAGAAAGATGTGTTGTTGTAAGGTAGCTAAGTTAATTGCTGCTCAATAGCTAGCCAACAGGTTTTTTGACAAGTGGGTGGTGTAGCTTGGCCTAGTGTCAGTGTACAGAGGACAGGACACTAGTCTATCCATTATATGGCTGCCTGTCAGCTTGGTTACAGCCAGCCACATGATGTTAGATTGAGCCTTACCGATCCTACTTCTGCTGTATAGCTAGGGTTGTATTTTACTCACATAAAGATAAATTAGGTTAGGTGTGTTTTTAGGGAAAAACCTGACCTCCTGTTTGCCAAAATCAGATTGCCTTGTCAGGCCTGTAGTAGGGTGATGTAGGCGGGGCCAAGTGTGTACTAAGTAGGGCTGGGCGATATGGCCTAAAATTCATATCTACATTTTTTCTAACATATTGGCAGTTCACAATGTATATCTCAATTGTTTTAATGTTTTCTCTAAATAAGCTTTGTTGTACAATTTAAATGTCAAATGCACGTAATTGCGAACAGTCAGCAATATTCTAATGAATGCAGGACTTGTGAAATTATACCTAAGGTAAAAAAAGTATATATTTCATTTTTTATTTCACCTTTATTTAACTAGGTAAGCCAGTTGAGAACAAGTTCTCATTTACAACAGCGACCTGGCTAAGATAAAGCAAAGCAGTGCGATTAAAAACCACAACAACACAGAGTTACAAATGGGGTAAAACAAAACATATAGTCAAAAATACCACATAATATATATATATACAGTGTGTGCAAATGTAGCAAGTTATGAAGGTAAGGCAATAAATAGGCCATAGTGCAAAATAATGACAATTGGTATTTACACTGGAATGATAGATGTGCAAGAGATGATGTGCAAATAAAGATACTGGGGTGCAAATGAGCAAAATAAATAACAATATGGGGATGAGGTAGTTGAGTGGGCTAATTTCAGAAGGGCTGTGTACAGGTGCAGTGATCGGTAAGGTGCTCTGACAACTGATGCTTAAAGTTAGTGAGGGAGATAAGAGTCTCCATCTTCAGAGATTTTTGCAGTTCGTTCCAGTCATTGGCAGCAGAGAACTGGAAGGAATGGCGGCCAAAGGAGGTGTTGGCTTTGGGGATGACCAGTGAGATATACCTGCTGGAGCGCATACTACGGGTAGGTGTTGCTATCGTGACCAATGAGCTAAGATAAGGCGGAGATTTGCCAAGCAGTGATTTATAGATGGCCTGGAGCCAGTGGGTTTGGCGACAAATATGTAGTGAGGACCAGCCAACAAGAGCGTACAGGTCACAGTGGTGGGTAGTATATGGGGCTTTGGTGACAAAACGGATGGCACTGTGATAGACTACATCCAATTTGCTGAGTAGAGTGTTGGAGGCTATTTTGTAAATGACATCGCCGAAGTCAAGAATCGGTAGGATAGTCAGTTTTACGAGGGCATGGTTGGCAGCATGAGTGAAGGAGGCTTTGTTGCGAAATAAGAAGCCGATTCTAGATTTAACTTTGGATTGGAGATGCTTAATGTGAGTCTGGAAGGAGAGTTTACAGTCTAACCAGACACCTAGGTATTTGTAGTTGTCCACATACTCTAGGTCAGACCCGTCGAGAGTAGTGATTCTAGTCGGGTGGGCGGGTGCCAGCAGCGTTCGATTGAAGAGCATGCATTTAGTTTTACTAGCGTTTTAAGAGCAGTTGGAGGCTATGGAAGGAGTGTTGTATGGCATTGAAGCTCGTTTGGAGGTTTGTTAACACAGTTTCCAATGAAGGGCCAGATGTATACAAAATGGTGTCGTCTGCATAGAGGTGGATCTCAGAGTCACCAGCAGCAAGAGCGACATCATTGATATACACAGAGAAAAGAGTCGGCCCAAGAATTGAACCCTGTGGCACCCCCATAGACTGCATAGGTCCAGACAACAGGCCCTCCGATTTGACACATTGAACTCTATCTGAGAAGTAGTTGGTGAACCAGGCGAGGCAGTCATTTGAGAAACCAAGGCTATTTAGTCTGCCAATAAGAATGCAGTGGTTGACAGAGTCGAAAGCCTTGGCCAGGTCCATGAAGACTGCTGCACAGTACTGTCTATTATCGATCACGGTTCAAATTGTCGGTGATCTGTTTGTTAACTTGGCTTTCAAAAACTTTCGAAAGGCAGGGCAGGATGGATATAGGTCTGTAACAGTTTGGATCTAGAGTGTCACCCCCTTTGAAGAGGGGGTTGACCGCGGCAGCTTTCCATTCTCTGGGGATCTCAGACGTTACGAAAGAGAGGTTGAACAGGCTAGTAATAGGGGTTGCGACAATTTCGGCGGCTATTTTTTTTAGAAAGAAAGGGTCCAGATTGTCTAGCCCAGATGATTTGTAGGGGTCCAGATTTTGCAGCTCTTTCAGAACATCAGCTGTCTGAATTTGTGTGAAGAAGAAGCGGGGGTGGGCATGGGCAAGTTGCAGCAGAGGGTGCAGAGCTGGTGGCCGGGGTAGTGGTAGCCAGGTGGAAAGCATGGCCAGCCGTAGCAAAATGCTTGTTGAAATTCTCGATTATTGTAGATTTATCGGTGGTGATAATGTTTCCTAGCCTCAGTGCAGTGGGCAGCTGGGAGGAGGTGCTCTTATTCTCCATGGACTTTATTGTCCCAAAACTTTTTGGAGTTAGTGCTACAGGATGCTAATTTCTGTTTGAAAAAGCTAGCCTTTGCTTTCCTAACTGCTTGTGTATATTGGTTCCTAACTTCCCTGAAAAGTTGCATATCGTGGGGGCTATTCGATGCTAATGCAGTACGCCACAGGATGTTTTTGTGCTGGTCAAGTCTGCGGAGAACCAGGGGCTATATCTGTTCTTAGTTCTGCATTTTTTGAATGGGGCATGCTTATTTAAGATAGAGAGGAAAGCACTTTTAAAGAACAACCAGGCATCCTCTACTGACGGAATGAGATCGATATCCATCCAGGATACCTGGGCCAAGTAAATTAGGAAGGCCTGCTCGCTAAAGTGTTTTAGGGTGCGTTTGATAGTGATGGGGGTGGTCGTTTGACCGCGGACCCGTTACGGACGCAGGCAATAAGGCAGTGATCGCTGAGATCCTGGTTGAAGACGGCAGAGGTGTATTTAGAGGGTTAGTTAGGATGATATCTATGAGGGTGCCCATGTTTATGGATTTAGGGTTGTACCTGGTAGGTTATATAATATAAGCCTTACACAACCATAAGACCCACTAATAATGTAATTATTTTATCAAAATAGTTTAACAGTCAGTCTATGAAAATGCCCTTTTTGTTACAAATTTAACCAAAACCATGCATAATAATGACTAACTTCTTGTAGCAGATGTTATAGAAAATTAACACGTCTCATAAATCATCTCTCAAGCACAAGCCCACGTGCTTGTGAGTAGCCGGCTAATCTTTATATTTCAAGTTTAGCTAACTTGTGTCTATCGCTAACAAGGTACAGTTGAATTGTTATGAACACACCCTTCTTTCCATCTCCAACTGGTTGAACAGCATGCTAGCCTGTCCACTTCGTTCAGATGTTGAAATCAAGTGGCCTGAAATCTCTCGCTTCGCCTCTTCCTCGCTGATCCGTCTCTGCCCGAGCAGGAAACAGGCGCAATGGAGTATGGTCGTTGTAGTTAATTACCACGTTTCTGCACTGAACTAGGTTGAATATTTGCTTAATGAAAACAACGCCTTTCAGCCCAGCGTCCCACTAGTTCTTGACTTGATTTCTCTCGTGAATTATTTGATTTCTCTAGAGAAATGGCATGTTGGGCTCACCAAAAACCTGAACTAAATGGAATTCAAGTGTTTGAACAGATGGCGGTCAATTCGATTTTTAATAACCGGGGGGAAAACTAGATTTTGGTTAATCGCTCAGCACTAGTTGCTAAACAAGACCTGCATCTCATAACTCTAGTGGCTTTCTCTCCACTGCACTGATCTAACACATGATAGGTGAAAGAAATATGGTGGATGCTCTCTAGGAATTTGCTCTCAGCTGTGCAGATTGTTCACATCAGCACTGATGGAGAGAGAGAGATGAGACTATTGAAATGAAGCCCAGGTCTTAGGTGTTGGCCGGAGCCCTGCAGTACAGTACTCTACTGACTCCAGTACACAGGGCCTGGCCTGGTTGTGCTGAGTGGGCATATTTTCCCTCTAGACCCAGCAGAACCCAGACTGGTAGGGGAAACTTTCTTGATTCTACATCAACCTTTTTTCACCTTTACTTTACATTCTCCTGCTTAGATAGCCAGGGTTCACTTCCAACTACAGGGGTTCCTACCCTAACAAAGCAGGGCACTCCCTGGAACTTCAAAAGATTGATGTTGGCCCAGACTAGTATTGTTAGGGCAGTGAAGTCAAAGGTATAAATCAAACCCTGCTTGGGGTGCTAAATGCATGTTAACCTCTCCCAGCTCTAGGTATGAACTGAGAATGAATGTGAACCAGCAGACTCCCATGGCGTCTCCGTACGGCCAGCCCCAGCCTGGCTATGGCCAGCCCAGCTACGCTCCCCTGGGAGGGAGCTACCCTGGCCCCTACGGACCCAACGGGCCCGCTACAGCCTACCAGCCTGGGGCTCCACCACAAGGTAAGTCTGTCTCTTTCCCTAACCCACCTCTTCTTTCTTGCAAGGGACTGTCTGTGTCTCTGTTTCTGTCCCTCCTCCCACTAGCGAGCTGACCTTCTGCAAGGTAAAACTTGTCTCTGTCCCTCTTTCTCTGTACCCATCGCAAAGTCCACTTCCTGCCATTCCCGCCATATCTTTGTGGCAACTTGTGTGTGTTTGGATGTAATTGATTGTATTGTGAATGCATCAACAACCATAGGGATTCTAGTTGCTCCTACTCCTGTGTGTGTGTGTATGTGTGTGAGCAAGCATATTATGCGTGTATGTGTTCCTCCTTTCCCCCTGGCTTTCTGCATTTCTATTCCTGCCTCTGTACACGGTGTCTCCCTCCTTTCTTGTCTTTCAGGTTACTCTCCCTATGCCAGTTTTCCCTCTAAGGCTGTGGCAGCTAACCCAGTCTCTGACCTGTCCTCTCCTCTTGACTTAGGTAACTGCTTTCTCTCTCTCTCTGCCACCCCTCTCTTTCCCCTACATACATGCTTCTACAGCCTGCTGATCATTTGGCTGAGAGCAATGGTTCCCATGGCCCACTTGAAGTTCAAAATCTAAGATGTAGGTTTCTCACATGAGATGACTTTACCTTCAGGATGACTAACTTTACCAACGAGTGGTGCAAATCTATGCAGGTTTTTCTGGCTGGAAATGCATTCTTGCATTGATGACATAACGGTCATCATAGCTGATTACATAACGTTCCAAATGCCATCCGCTGTGTTTCAAACCTGTCGCCATTTCAGACAGGTGCCTAACGCCCCATCCCTCTCTCTCAGGACCTGCCAGAGGCTCCCCTACCTCTGCCCCCCGTCCAGTCTCCACCCCCCAGGCATACTCCCAGTATCCCCAGGGAGACAATCAGAACGGACCCCCACCTATGGCTCACTCTATGTCCCAGCCAGTTCACAGGTCAGACCACACACACGCACACACAGTGTATATACTAGACAGCGGTTGTGTGTGTGTGTCCAAATCTTTAAATGTGTGTGTGAAGAAAGGTGTGTATGTGACATAAGTTATCCAGGCTCTGTTGTAGCCGGCCGCGACCGGGAGACCCATGGGGCGGCGCACAATTGGCCCAGCGTCGTCCAGGGTAGGGGAGGGAATGGCCGGCAGGGAGAGCATGGCGTTTGCAACGCCAGGGTTGTGGGTTCGATTCCCATGGGGGGCCAGTATGAAAAATAAAATAAAAAATAATGTATGCACTCACTAACTGTAAGTCACTCTGGATAAGAGCGTCTGCTAAATGACTAAAATATAAATGTAAGTTGTTTGTGTGTCCAGGTCGCCTGTGTCTCAGCCGTATAGCCAAGGTGCTATGAACTTGTCCGGGCCACACCCCTCCTACCCCCAGCAGTACGGGGCTCAGCCCCCCATGCAACAGGTGACCAATCAGATGTCAGGGATGCAGATCGGGTCCGGCCCCCCCACCTCTGTTGGGCTGGGATATGGTAAGAAATAATTGATTGATTGACGAATTTCGTGCTAAACTTTGCACCTACTAAACACAACCCTAGTTACCTGAATTTTCTTTCTCCAGCTCGCCATCCCAGCTCCCAGCCTCCAATCAGTGCATACTCCGCTGCAGCCCCTCCCTCCTATACGCAAGCTCCTCCCCCATTGTCTGCTGCCCCCTCCCAGCCTCCCCCTCCCAGTGAACCTGCCGCCCCCCAGCCTTACTATAGTGTCCCCCCTCCCCCCCAACAACAACCCTTCGCCTCCTCTGCCCACCTTCCCTCCCAACCCTTCCTCTCCTCCTCTCCATACTCGGGCCCTCCCCCTCTCAGCCAACCCCAGGCCCCTCCAGTCTCTCAACAGCAGTCCTTCCCACCTGGCCCCCCTCCCCATGCTCAACAACCCTTCCCCAACTCCGCCCCTCCTCCAGTCTCCCAGGCCTCCTACTCTGGCCCCCCTCCTCACACCCAGCACTCCTTCCCCCCCAGAGGCCCCCCTCCCTCCTCCCAATCTGGCCCCTTCCCACCTATCTCTATACCCCCTGCCCAGTACCCAGGCCCCCAGCCCCCGTCCCAACCCGGGCCCCCTCCCTTCCACTCTGAGTCCTCTCCTCAAGGCCCCATGCCACCCCCCTCCATGTCCCAGCAGCAGGCCAATCACCTTCCCCCCGGCCCCATGCAGCAACAGCACCCTCCTCAGCCTGGCATGCAGGGAGGATACCCACCCCAGCAGAATGGTGAGTACACCATGTTCAAACCCCTGTTCAACTTCTACTAGACCGCTAGCTTGCTTTTGGCAAGTCTGGAGTTTTTGTAATGAAATCTAGTTGGCAGTCATAGAGTGGATGTGAAAATCAGATGTCATGGTAGTCAAATCAATCAAATCAAATGTTATTTGTCACATGCTTCGTAAACAACAGGTGTAGACCAACAGTGAAATGTTTGCTTACGGGACCTTTTCCATCAATGCAGAGTTAAAAATGAAGATAAAAAATAGAAATAGTGACACAAGTAATAAATACATGGTGAATAACAATAAAGAGTAAAAATAACATGGCTATATACATGGAGTACCAGTACCAAGTCAATGTGCAGGAGTGCTAGGTAATTAAAGTAGCTATGTACAAATAGGTAGGGGTAAAGTGACTAGGCAACAGGATAGATAATAGCAGCAGCTTATGTGAGTGTTAAAGTGTGTGTGGCGTCAGTATGCATGTGTTTGTTTGTGGGCGTAGGTAGTGTGTGTGTTGGAGTGTCAGTGTAAGAATGTGTGAGTGTATGGATAGAGTCATAGTCAGTGCAAGAGTTAGTGCAAAAAACAAAAAAAAGGATCAATGCAGGTAGTCTGGGTAGCCATTTCTAATTAACGTAAGCCCACCCAGTAGAGAGTTTATAATCAATCAATACTTTCCTCCTCAGGTGCGTTTGGGCAGCCGAGAGGGCCCCAGCCCGGCTATGCAGGCCCGCAGTATCCCGGGCAACAGAACTACGGAGCAGGCCCTGCCCCTGCACCCGCTCCCACCGCACAGAAGAGACTGGACCCTGACTCCATCCCCAGCCCGGTAAGGCACACACACTCCCTGTCCCCATCCTGGTAACACATACACACTTGGTCTTGTGATGTATAGTGTATTGGTGATAATGATGTTAGGTATTGGACTGTATGTTATGTGTTTGTGTGTGCAGTCTAACAGTGTAACCCAGTCTAAGTTGAGCATGTGTATCAAACACAGATGATCTGCTTGCCTTCTCTCTGATGACTGACTAATCTATAACCAATAATCCCAGAATCACAGTCAGGGAGCTAATAATCCTGCTACTGAGTTATTTACATCCTCTTCTCTCTGTCCCCTGTGTTCTTTGGTTTTGTTTGATTTGATAATTTGCTGGACAAATCTCTGTTGTGAATGTAAAGCAAGCGTCTGAGCTGCCGGCTGTGCAGAAATCGAGACATAGAATAGACCCAGACGCTATCCCCAGCCCAGTAAGTCTCCTGTCTACCTCCTAACCCCTATCCCCTACCCCTTAACCCCTTATCCCCGTCTTAGTGCTGAGCGATTAACTAAAATGTTGGTTTATTTACGGTTTTTAAATAACTAATTGACAGCATTGGTTCAATTATTTGAATTCCATTTATTTAAAAAAAATTATGTGAGCTCAATGTGCAGTTTCTCTAGAGAGATTTCATGTTGTCCAACTCATCATAGTTAACCGCAGAAAACGTGGTAATTAATTACAATGACTAGAATCCATTGTGGCTACAGCTGCCTGTTCTCATTGGTTGTTATCCCGGGCAAGCCTGTGGGGCCGGCAGACAGACAGGGAGAGGAAGCGCGATAGAGACAGGAGAGGGATAGAGAGCAGTTGCTTAGGTATCTCTACCCGACAATACATCTTATTGGTTGATAGTTCTTATTTAGCAGTCTTAAAAATATGCCTTATCTACTTTGAAGAATTACTGAAATAGTGATTTTGTCAGACAGCAGGCAGCTAGCCAGCTAGACTAGCTTTCTAGCCTGAAGGATGACTCTTTGGAGAGCACAGAGATACTTTTGTATATATAGTGTATGTGGTCACCCCTTCAAATTGGTGGATTCAGCTATTTCAACCACACCTGTTGCTGACAGGTGTATAAAATCGAGCACACAGCCATGCAGTCTCCATGGACAAACATTGGCAGTAGAATGGCCTTAGTGAAGAGCTCAGTGACTTTCAACGTGGCACCGTCATAGGATGCCACCTTTCCAACAAGTCAGTTCGTCAAATTTCTGCGCTGCTAGAGCTGCCCCGGTCAACTGTAAGTCCTGTTATTGTGAAGTGGAAACATCTAGGAGCAACAATGGCTCAGCCACGAAGTAATATGCCACACAAGGTCACAGAACGGGACCGCTGAAGTGCGTAGCGCGTAAAAATGTCCTGTCCTTGGTTGAAACACTCACTACTGAGTTCCAAACTGCCTCTGGAAGCAACGTCAGTACAAGAACTGTTAGTCGGGAGCTTCATGAAATGGATTTCCATGGCCGAGCAGCCGCACACAAGCCTAAGATCACCATGCGCAATGCCAAGCGTCGGCTGGAGTGGTGTAAAGCTCACCGCCGTTGGACTCAGGAGCAGTGGAAACGCGTTCTCTGGAGTGATGAATCACACTTCACCATCTGGCAGTCCAATGGACGAATCTGGGTTTGTGGATGCCAGGAGAACGCTACCTGCCCCAATGCATAGTGCCAACTGTAAAGTTTGGTGGAGGAGGAATAATGGTCTGGGGCCCCTTAGTTCCAGTGAAGGGAAATCTTAACGATACAGCATACAATGACATTCTAGATGATTCTGTACTTCCAACTGTGTGGCAGCAGTTTGGGGAAGGCCCTTTCCAGTTTCAGCATGACAATGCCCCTGTGCACAGAAATTGTTTGTCGGAATCGGTATGGAAGAATTTGACTGGCCTGCACAGAGACCTGACCTCATCCCCATCGAACATTACATTTTAAATTTTTTACATTTTAGTCATTTAGCAGACGCTCTTATCCAGAGCGACTTACAGTTAGTGAGTACATACATAATTTTTTTTATACTGGCCCCCCATGGGAATCGAACCCTGGCATTGCAAACGCCATGCTCTACCAATTGAGCTACATCCCTGCCGGTCATTCCCTCCCCTACCCTGGACGACGCTGAGCCAATTGTGCGCCGCCCCATGGGTCTCCCGGTCGCGGCCGGCTACGACAGAGCCTGGATTCGAACCAGGATCTCTAGCGGCACAGCTAGCACTGCGATGCAGTGCCTTAGACCACTGCGCCACTCGGGAGACACAATCTTTGTGATGAACTGGAATGCCGACTGCGAGCCAGGCCTAATCGCCCAACATCAGTGTCCGACCTCACTAATGCTCTTGTGGCTGAATGGAAGCAAGTCCCCGCAGCAATGTTCCAACATCTAGTGGAGTGTTATAACAGCAAAGGGGGGACCAAGTCCATATTAATGCCCATGATTTTTTAAAGAGTTGTTCGATGAGCAGGTGTCCACATACTTTTGGTCATGTAGTGTAGATGGCTGACTGCTACTGCCTGAGCAGAGATTATATGACTTGGAATGAAATAATCAAAATGAAAGTCATCAAATAAAAAGTGAGAAAAAAATGTAATGTAAAGTAATGTGAGAAAAGGATGCCTATTAATAAGTGATAAGCGGTAATGGGCAGTCACTGCTATCATTTGAGTTTTTATTAATGAAATAGTCATCATGCTAAAAACAAATGTAATATACACAACCAAAATATTTTATTTAAGGAAAGTAATGTGAATAAATGATATTAATGGGCAGTCACAACCATCAATTATTTTTTGTTCTATGTTACAGCATGAAACCCACATAACGTTTCTTTTTTTTTTATGGAACCGAAATTGAAAACCGTGATTTAAAAAAAATCACGAAACAACCTCAAAAAGCACTTAGCTCAGCACTACCCCGTCTACATCCTAACCCCTACACCCTATCCCCAGCCCAGCAAGCTCCTGTGTGTCTCCTCACTAACTGCTACACCCTAACCTTTGAGCCCTGACCCTCAGAAGCCTACCAATGTTTCTATGTCTGACCAACAGGTCATTGGTGCGTTCTGATCCCCCCCCCCACCCCTTTTCCCTCTCCTCGCATGCCAGCCTGCAGTGTCTCAATCACTACTCACCCATAATTCCTTGCACTCTGAAATTTACCCAAATTCCTTGATTCCTGAAATTTGCCCACAATTCCTAGCACCCTGAAATTAGCCCAAATTCGTTGAATTTTTTATTTGTCCACAATCATGCTACATTTGAGTATAAAGCCCTCCCTAGTGGTTTTGGTGTGTTGTGCACTGTACTCTACAGTGTTGCCATGGTTGCTGTGTCATTGTGTTATTATAGGATGGCCTCAATGGTTTTTTGTTAATCTTCTCTGTTCTCTTTGGGAGTTCTATTTTTACTCTCTCACTGGAGAATAGGTTTGTGCGTAATGGAGAGACTCTTCCCCTGCATGTCATTATACTCCACCCTCTATCAAATTAACATTAGCGTGTCTGTAAAACTTGCTTTCTCTTTCTACCTCAGATTCAGGTGATTGAGGATGACCGGGTCAACAAGAGCAGTGAGCCGTTCACCACTGGGGTCAAAGGTCAGGCTCCACCCCTGGTCACCACCAACTTCCAGGTGAAAGACCAGGGCAACGCCAGCCCGCGGTTCATCCGCTGTACGGCCTACAACATGCCCTGCACAGCCGACATGGCCAAACAGTCCCAAGTCCCCTTGGCCGCTGTAATCAAACCCCTGGCCACGCTGCCCCCCGACGAGGTGAGACGCACACACATACGCGCACACACACCCCTATCTCCTCTGTTCTCCTTCTCTCAAAACACTCTCTTACCGCTCTCTCTTTGTTGTCGTTATATGTTCATTTTTCTCAAGAATTGGAGGCATCTGCCATTTCTGAACTACACTATAAGATGCTTAACAAACCCCCCTCTGTCTGTCAGACGCCTCCGTACATTGTGGACCATGGGGAGGGCGGTCCTATCCGCTGTAACCGCTGTAAGGCCTACATGTGTCCCTACATGCAGTTCATCGAGGGTGGACGCCGCTTCCAGTGTGGCTTCTGCAGCTGTGTCACAGAGGGTACGTGCGTGTGATATTTTGTGTGTGTCTGAGGTCAGTATTGTAATTTGTTTGTTATAACTCTCCCTCTCTCTCGCCATAGTGCCTCCCCACTACTTCCAGCATCTGGACCACACAGGGAAGAGGGTGGACTGCTATGACAGGCCAGAGCTCTCTCAGGGCAGCTACGAGTTTGTGGCCACCGTCGACTACTGTAAGGTAGGTGTCTACTTTCATAAAAGACTGGAGGCCTGTACCTTTGTTCTATTTGGACCAGAAGATTTTCATAATGAGCCAGATTCTGTCTGTCGTCACAATGACCAAGTTTGGCACATACCAGAGATTCTCCATCAAAGAAAAGCTGTGCCATTATGTAATATGCTTAATATGCGAACTGTCTAGTCTAAATACTTCTCTCTTTCACTCTCTCTCTGCTTCTTTCTCTCTCTCAGAACAATAAGCTCCCCCAGCCCCCAGCGTTCATCTTCTTCATCGATGTGTCTTACAACGCCGTGAAGAGCGGCATGGTCAACATAGTCTGTCAGGAGCTCAAGACTCTACTGGACTACCTGCCCAGGTACACACACACACACACACACACACACTATTCACCCATGTAAACACACACACACACCCACTAGCTAATGAATGACATTTGCTCTCTCTCTTCCCCCGCTCACCCTCCAGGGAGAATCCAGAGGCAGACTCGGTGGTGCGTGTGGGTTTTGTGACCTATAACAAGGTGTTACACTTCTACAACGTCAAGTCCAGCCTGGCCCAGCCCCAGATGATGGTGGTCAGTGACGTCAGTGACATGTTCCTCCCTCTGCTCGACGGCTTCCTGGTCAGCGTCAACGACAGCCGGATGGTCATCGAGAGGTACGCACACATACATTTACACCAGGGCTCCAGACTAACAGTTTCCTGCCGTGGCACTGGTGCCACTAAGTTTTTCAGTTGGGGGCACCAGCCCATGATTTTTTGTCGCAGTAACAACAAAAAATGTGACGTCATGCAATATCATTTTTTGTAATTGTAATAAAGGTTTTCAAGATGAATAAAAGAGAAGAGCAGTCACAGAAAGTCAATCAAAATCAAATCTGGTTTAGAAGTTGCAACAGGGAGACACCTCCAGAACAGAAGCAAATAACATTTGTAACTCGCTTTCTCTAAGCCGTTATATTCTAATCTCACAGCACCAATGTTCTGTAAAACAGTAGGACGTCACATCAGTTGCTACTGAATCACGCAGTGTCACAGAATACAATAACAAGCAGTGTCCTTGGTCCTTGTACCTTCAGTCTGTAGTCATTCACTATCAACAGATATGAGAACAATCCATAACATTCAGTATAAAGTCTAAGTGACCATCAACGCGTACACAAATGATTGTCCCAAATAGAATACTGGAAATCATGTGTATTTTACGTAAAGGGAAACATATAAATATGCTAAGCATTGTGTTAATTACTCTTAACTGAATATTAACTTTATTCATCTTATTCCCATGACATTAATCATCTTTTAAAGTAATTCAGTGCTTTATTAAGAAGTGTAATCGACTACTGAGATGGTATTTAAGAAATAAGTTGTTTCTTCTAACATGTTGTGATTCAAAATATTTTGATGTGCATCCTATTCCAGTGATTTTCATGACTTTCGGGTTGACAATTAGGCTATTGTTATATTTTACTGTTAAAATAGGTTCAATAGAGATTCATTTGCCTACATCTTTATGTGCATAATATCATATGCTACGTTTTGGGGGGCTAATTCACCACCTAAGTGGAAACTCAAAACACATTAGCTAGATTGTTAACTCTCTAAATATAAAACCCACTGCTAGTTGCCATATGTTAATCTAACAGCAAATGTAATGTCCTAAAAAAAACTGCAGTTGTAGCCTACAGAAAGCTAAGAACCTCCTCTCTTCAGCATTACACATGATAGCTGTGTTTACCCTGCAATTGGATTTTGAAATGTTATACAATCAGAATGCATTTTTTTCTCCCTGAGCATTTTCTTTCTCCCGGGAAAGGCAGTGAGAGTGGCTCGCTCATCACAGCAGCAGGTCCCAGCGAAACAGGGGGGCAGCCGCAGGGCACAAACTTTCATTAGATGAATCATCAGGATAATGCACTTTACTGTTTGACCAAATCATGGGTTAAGCCTCCTAAAAAAAAAATAGGAAGATTGAGAAACATTTAATGTTTTACGCACACAGCCAAGCCAAAGGGTCGCAAAATTTTACTAAATGGTCGCTGTCTGGAGCCCTGGTATACACACATTAATATTTATATCCATCACATATATTAAAGCAGATGTCTCATCTGTCCAGGCATCGCAACTGTTTAAGTTGCATAGACTCATTTGGCGTGTTTGTCAGTTTGCTAGACCAGATTCCGGAGATGTTTGCAGACACCAGGGAGACTGAGACGGTGTTTGGACCAGTCATCCAGGCAGGACTGGAGGCACTGAAGGCTGCAGACTGTGCCGGTAAGCTGTTTGTGTTCCACTCCACTCTGCCCATCGCTGAGGCTCCTGGGAAACTGAAGAACAGAGAGGACAAGAAACTGGTGGGAACAGACAAGGAGAAGGTACGCACAAACACACTGATACACTCAGACACAAGTACTCTCTCACACACACACTAACAAGGAGAAGGTAAACTGATATTGCAGATACTGTTGGCAGATACTGTTGCAATTAGACACAGAACACATAAAGAACCCTCATTCTGGAGAAAGTGTTCCATCTGGTATTGGTTGGGTCAATGACTCTGTCAATGAGTCTCTCTCTCTCCCCCTCTCCAGTCTCTGTTCCAGCCCCAGTCTGGTTTCTACAGTAACCTGTCTAAGGAGTGTGTAGCACAGGGCTGCTGTGTGGACCTCTTCCTGTTTCCCAACCAGTATGTCGACGTGGCAACACTTGGCGTGGTGCCCGTCTCCACTGGGGGCTCCATCTACAAATACACCTACTTCCAGGTGAGACACACACACACACATCTCTCTCTCTCTCTCTCTCTCTATATATATATATATATATATCTCTCCATACAATGCCTTCGGAAAGTTTTCAGACCCCTAGACATTTCCCACATTTTCTTAGGTTACAGCCTTATTCTAAAATTGATTAAATAGTTTTTTTCCCCCTCATCAATCTACACACAATACCCCATAATGACAAAGCAAAACAGGTTTTTAGATTTTTATTTTTACTGAAACCACATTTACATAAGTGTTCTCTGTACTTTGCTCTGTTCATCTTTCTCTCGATCCTGACTAGTCTCCCAGTCCCTGCCGCTGAAAAACATCCCCACAGCATGATGCTGCCACCACAATGCTTCACCGTAGGGATGGTGCCAGGTTTCCTCCAGACGTGACTTTTGGCATTCAGGCCAAAGAGTTCAATCTTGGTTTCATCAGACCAGAGAATCTTGTTTCTTATGGTCTGAGAGTCTTTAGGTGCCTTTTAGCGAACTCCAAGCAGGCTGTCATGTGCCTTTTACTGAGGAGTGGCTTCTGTCTGGCCACTCTACCATAAAGGCCTGATTGGTGGAGTGCTGCGGAGGTGGTTGTCCTTCTGGAAGGTTCTCCCATCTCCACAGAGGAACTCTGGAGTTCTGTCAGTGACCATCGTGTTCTTAGTCACCTCCCTGACCAAGGCCCTTCTCCCCCGATTGCTCAGTTTGGCCGGGCGACCAGCTCTAGGAAGAGTCTTGGTGGTTCCAAACTTCTTCCATTTAAGAATGATGGAGGCCACTGTGTTCTGGGTTTTTTATACATTTGCAAACATTTCTAAACTTTAGGTTACGACCGTAACCCTGGTTTTCTGATAGTATGAGTGAGGTATTTCACTTATGGGATACGGCCCCAGCATATTCGTCAGAAGCCTTTATTACACTACGCCAGCCATGATTGGCTGGACGTCGAGACGTGTGCGTCGGGGAAGGTTGTCCCTCCTACCCTATAAAAGATCCAACGCAACGTCTGAGTCATTCAAAAATAAGCAACACCTCTTCCTCGCTCATGCAAGGAGGGTGGTCTGGTGAAATACCTCACTCATACTATCAGAGAACCGGGGTTACAGTCGTAACCTAAAGTTCTCTTTCAAGTATTTGTTTCGGTATTTCACTTATGGGATATACTGACTCCCATATTGCCAGACAGGCTTATCCTGACGACCGACTGTCCTTTGCTATATATCACACAAATGGGCTTTGCCCCTCAGAAGATCCTACACGTAAAACAGTATGCGCCAGGGTAGGTGCCGTGACATAAAGCCCAACTCGCTGCTGAGCAAATATTTTGGATAGATATGGCCTTAAATAAAGCCCAGGACGTAGCCATTCCTCTAGTGGAATGAGCCCGTAGGCCAGAAGGAGACTAAAGACCCTTACTTGTGTAGGCCAAAGCAATAGCCCCCACTATCCAGTGGGAGAGGCAATGTTTAGTGAGCGCTTTACCTGTGTGAGGTTTTGCCCAGGAAACAAACAACTAAATCCCTTAATCCTGTCCATGTAGATGCGCAGAGTGCGTACTGGGCACAACATATGCAACCGTTGATGTTCCGGAGAGGAAAACGGTGGGGGATAAACAAGCTACCAGCTCCAGAGGAAGACACGTCAAAGATGGGTTAATCATCTTAGGGATTAAGGTGGGGTTAAGCCTCAATGATACCCTATTGTTACCAGGTGCAAATTGTGCACATGATGAGTGCACCGAGAGTGTGTGAATGTCACTTACACACTTGGCGGAGGCCAATGCTAGTAATATCGCGGTCATAAATGAAAGCATCTTCAGCTCCACTTGATCTCAAAAGGCTGTTGGCATAGAGCATCGAAAACATTTACATTTACATAATTTAGAAGACGCTCTTATCCAGAGCGACTTACAAATTGGTGCATTCAACTTATCATAGCCAGTGGGACAACCACTTTTTTGTTATGATATAAAAAAAAAAAATCATTTTCTTATTTTTTTGTGGGGGAAGAAGGATTACTTTATACTATTCCAGGTATTCCTTAAAGAGGTAGGGTTTCAAGTGTTTCCGGAAGGTGGTCAGTGACTCCGCTGTCTTGGCGTCGTGGGGGAGCTTGTTCCACCATTGGGGTGCCAGAGCAGCGAATAGCTTTGACTGGGCTGAGCGGGAACTGTGCTTCCGTAGAGGTAGGGGAGCTAGCAGGCCAGAGGTGGATGAACGTAGTGCCCTCGTTTGGGTGTAGGATCAGAGCCTGAAGGTAAGGAGGTGCCGTTCCCCTCACAGCTCCATAGGCAAGCACCATGGTCTTGTAGTAGATGCGAGCCTCAACTGGAAGCCAGTGGAGTGTGCAGAGGAGCGGGGTGACATGAGAGAACTTCGGAAGGTTGAACACCAGACGGGCTGCAGCGTTCTGGATAAGTTGTAGGGGTTTAATGGCACAGACAGGGAGCCCAGCCAACAGCGAGTTGCAGTAATCCAGACGGGAGATGACAAGTGCCTGGATTAGGACCTGTGCCACTTTCTGTGTAAGGTAGGGTCGTACTCTGCGAATGTTGTAGAGCATGAACCTGCAGGATCGGGTCACCGCTTTGATGTTAGCGGAGAAAGACAGGGTGTTGTCCAGGGTCACGCCAAGGTTCTTTGCACTCTGGGTGGAGGACACAATAGAGTTGTCAACCGTGATGGCGAGATCATGGAGGGGGCAGTCCTTCCCCGGGAGGAAGAGCAGCTCCGTCTTGCCGAGGTTCAGCTTGAGGTGGTGATCCGACATCCACACTGATATGTCTGCCAGACATGCAGAGATGCGATTCGCCACTTGGTTATCGGAAAGGAGAAAAGTAATTGTGTGTCGTCTGCGTAGCAATGATAGGAGAGACCATGTGAGGATATGACAGAGCCAAGTGACTTGGTGTATAGAGAGAATAGGAGAGGGCCTAGAACTGAGCCCTGGGGGACACCAGTGGTGAGAGCACGTGGTGCGGAGACAGATTCTCGCCACGCCACCTGGTAGGAGCGACCTGTCAGGTAGGACGTAATCCAAGAGTGAGCAGCGCCGGAGATGCCCAACTCGGAGAGGGTGGAGAGGAGGATCTGATGGTTCACAGTATCAAAGGCAGCGGATAGGTCTAGAAGGATAAGAGCAGAGGAGAGAGAGTTAGCTTTAGCAGTGCGGAGAGCCTCCCTGACACAGAGAAGAGCAGTCTCAGTTGAATGACCAGTCTTGAAACCTGACTGGTTTGGATCAAGAAGGTCATTCTGAGAGAGATAGCAGGAGAGTTGGCTAGAGACGGCACGCTCAAGAGTTTTGGAGAGAAAAGAAAGAAGGGATACTGGAGGGATCGAGTGTAGGTTTTTTGAGGGGTGCAACTCTCGCTCTCTTGAAGACGGAAGGGACATGGCCAACGGTCAAGGATGAGTTGATGAGCGAGGTGAGGTAAGGGAGAAGGTCTCCGGAAATGGTCTGGAGAAGAGAGGAGGGGATAGGGTCAAGCGGGCAGGTTTTTGGGCGGCCGGCCGTCACAAGTCGCAAGATTTCATCTGGAGAGAGAGGGGAGAAAGAAGTCAAAGCATAGGGTAGGGCAGTGTGAGCAGGACCAGCGGTGTCATTTGACTTAATAAATGAGGATCGGATGTCGTCAACCTTCTTTTCAAAATGGTTGACAAAGTCATCCACAGAGGGAGGGGGGGGGTTCAGCAGGGAGGAGAAGGTGGCAAAGAGCTTCCTAGGGTTAGAGGCAGAGGCTTGAAATTTAGAGTGGTAGAAAGTGGCTTTAGCAGCGGAAACAGAGGAAGAGAATGTAGAGAGGAGGGAGTGAAAAGATGACTGGTCCGCAGGGAGTCTAGTTTTCCTTCATTTCCGCTCGGCTGCCCGGAGCCCTCTTCTGTGAGCTCGCAATGAGTCTGCAATCCACGGAGCAGGAGGGGAGGACCGAGCCGGCCGGGAGGATAGGGGACATAGAGAGTCAAAAGATGCAGAAAGGGAGGAGAGGAGGGTTGAGGAGGCAGAATCAGGAGATTGGAGGGGGAAGGATTTAGCAGAGGGAAGAGATGATAGGATGGAAGAGGAGAGAGTAGCGGGAGAGAGAGAGCGAAGGTTGCGACGGCACATTACCATCTGAGTAGGGGCAGAGTGAGTAGTGTTGGAGGAGAGCGAGAGAGAAAAGGATACAAAGTAGTGGTCGGAGACTTGGAGGGGAGTTGCAGTAAGATTAGTAGAAGAACAGCATCTAGTAAAGATGAGGTCAAGCGTATTGCCTGCCTTGTGAGTAGGAGGGGACGGTGAGAGGGTGAGGTCAAAAGAGGAAAGGAGTGGAAAGAAGGAGGCAGAGAGAAATTAGTAAAAGGCAGACGTAGAGAGGTTAAAGTCACCCAGAACTGTGAGGGGTGAGCCATCCTCAGGAAAGGAACTTATCAAGGCGTCAAGATCATTGATGAACTCTCCAAGTGAACCTGGAGGGCGATAAATGATAAGGATGTTAAGCTTGAATGGGCTAGTGACTGGGACAGCATGGAATTCAAATGAGGAGATTGACAGATGGGTCAGGGGAAAAAGAGAGAATGTCCACTTGGGAGAGATGAGGATTCCTGTGCCACCGCCGCGCTGACCAGATGCTCTCGGGGTATGCGAGAACACATGGTCAGACGAGGAAAGAGCAGTAGGAGTAGCAGTGTTTTCTGTGGTAATCCATGTTGCCGTCAGCGCCAAGAAGTCGAGGGACTGGAGGGTAGCATAGGCTGAGATTAACTCTGCTTTGTTGGCTGCAGAACGGCAGTTCCAGAGTCTGCCGGAAACCTGGAACTCCACGTGGGTCGTGCGCGCAGGGACCACCAGATTAGAGTGGCAGCAGCCACACGGTGTGAAGCGTTTGTATGGCCTGTGCAGAGAGGAGAGGACAGGGATAGACAGACACATAGTTGACAGGCTACAGAAAAAGGCTACAATAATGCAAAGGAGATCGGAATGAAATGAACTAAACATCTGGGAAAGCGAGAGAGCGGGGCCTCCCTCACTTACGTTTCACTGAAACACTCAAATATAACTCTCCCAACTTCCACTTTAGAAATTATAATTGTTGTAAACTACAGCGGTTCAATGTTTTCTTGGAATAGACTCTAACTTAGTTTATTCAGCTAGCTAACTTGGTACTGTATAGCCACAACAGTGGTATTGTCTGTTCTGACTAGAACATGACGACCCTCCAGAAATGGGATGAACGACTTTAATGCTAGGGACACTGCAAGGAGTTCCAGGCAGTTTCTGTGAGTAGAACAGAGATTGGGACCCCACACCCCGTTGACAGTTCTGCCCTCGTGGGTTGCGCCCCAACCCGAGAGAGATGCGTCCATCGTGACTACTTTTCTGGATAAAACAGTGCCCATCTGGGCACCCTGTGACAGAAACGTCCGGTGTCTCCAGGAGTGCAGTGCTACCATGCAGTCTATGGAGATCTGTACACGGTGATGTTTGTGACGTATTGGGCTCAGACCAAGAGAAGAGACCCAGCATTTAAACTCTGTCATATTCAAACGTCCTAATGGGATGACTACTAAAGCTGATGCCATCAAACCTAGTAGCCTCAGGCATGTTTTGAAAGAGACCAGGTTCCCTCTGCGAAAGAGTGCTAGGCAATCTTGGAATGTTCTTATACGTTCCACTGAAAGGCGAGCTTTGAATGATACCGAATCCAGGATTAAACCTAGGAAAGAGAGTGTCTGCGTGGGAATCGGAACGCTCTTTACTGTGTTTATTCTGAAACCTAGAAATGTCAGGTGTTCGAAGAGTAGTTGACTGTGTTCTAAGACCTCTTGTCTCGATTGCGCGCACAGCAGCCAATCGTCAATGAGTGCCTTGCAAAAGTATTCATCCCCCTTGGCGTTTTTCCTATTTTGTTCATTACAACCTGTAATTTAAATGGATTTTTATTTGGATTTCATGTAATGGACATACACAAAATAGTCCAAATTGGTGAAGTGAAATTTAAAAAATTACTTGTTTAAAAGAATTATAAAAAATAAATAACGGAAAAGTTGTGCTTGCTGATGTATTCACCCCCTTTGCTATGAAGCCCATAAATAAGATCTGGTGCAACCAATCTTGTGCAATCTAAGTGTCACATGATCTCAGAATATATACACCTGTTCTGAAAGGCCCCAGAGTCTGCAACACCACTAAACAAGGGGCACCACCAAGCAAGCGGCACCATGAAGACCAAGGAGCTCTCCAAACAGGTCAGGGACAAAGTTGTGGAGAAGTACAGATCAGGGTTGGGTCATAAAAAAATATCCGGAACTTTGAACATCCCACAGAGCACCATTTTTAAATCCATTATTAAAAAATGGAAATAATATGGCACCACAACAAACCTGCCAAGAGAGGGCCGCCCACCAAAACTCATGGACCAGGCAAGGAGGGCATTAATCAGAGAGGCAACAAAGAGACCAAAGATAACCCTGAAGGAGCTGCAAAGCGCCACATCGGCGGTTGGAGTATCTGTCCATATGACCACTTTAAGCCGTACACTCCAGAGCTGGGCTTTACGGGAGAGTGGCCAGAAAAAAGCCATTGCTTAAAGAAAAAAATAAGCAAACACGTTTGGTGTTCGCCAAAAGGCATGTGGGAGACTCCCCAAACATATGGAAGAAGGTACTCTGGTCAGATTAGACTAAAATTGAGCTTTTTGGCCATCAAGGAAACGCTATGTCTGGCGCAAACCCCAACACCTCTCATCACCCCGAGAACACCATCCCCACAGTGAAGCATGGTGGTGGCAGCATCATGCTGTGGGGATGTTTTTCATCGGCAGGGACTGGGAAACCGGTCAGAATTGAAGGAATGATGGATGGTGCTAAATACAGGGAAATTCTTCCAGAGATTTGAGACAATGACCCTAATCATACTGCTAAAGCAACACTGGAATGGTCAAGTCAAAGCCTAGGCCTCAATCCAATTGAGAATCTGTGGTATGACTTAAAGATTGCTGTACACCAGCGGAACCCATCCAACTTGAAGGAGCTGGAGCAGTTAATTTTTATTTTTGTCTTATTTGTTGTTTGTTTCACAAGAAAAAATATTTTGCATCTTCAAAGTGGTAGGCATGTTGTGTAAATCAAATGATACAAACACCCCAAAAATCAATTTTAATTCCAGGTTGCAAGGTAACAAAATAGGAAAAATGCAAAGGGGGTGAATACTTTCGCAAGACACTGTACGTCATCAGCCGAATGCCCCTCTCTCTGAGTGGGGCTATGGCTGCCTCGGTACACTTCGTAAAAACACGAGGTGACCGTGAGAGGCCGAAAGGGAGCACCAGAAATTCGTAGATTACGCCTTGAAAAGCGAATCTGAGAAATTTCCTGTGAGGAGGGTATATTGAGATGTGAAAGTAAGCGTCCTTCAGGTCGACGGGTACGAACCAATCGCCTGGGCGCACGGAACGTAGCAGAGCAGTGTGTGTCAACATTCTGAACATGGATTTTCTCATGTGCCTGTTCAGAGCACGTAGATCTAGGATGGGGCGTATGCCGGTCCCTTTTTTGGAACCAGGAAAACCGCAGTGTCTTTGCTCGGGAGGAACAATTCTTATTGCCCTTTTCCCTATTAGCGATGTGATTTCCTCCCGGAGTACACGCGCTGATTCCCCCTGAGCCTGAGTGTATATAATTCCCTTGAATCGAAGAGGGGTGACAGCGAATTGTAGTCTGTATCCCCTGTCTATCGTGCCTTGTACCTAGTTTGACACTGCGCATGCCCGCCAATTCTCTCTCCGCTCAGAGAGGGCTGACTGGGCTTCCCCCCCCATAGACGGTGCAGCTGCACCACCCTCCTAGCGTATAGGACCTGTTTCAAACTATCACTTTTATGGTCAACATAGGCACTTCATATGCGCACTCGCTCCGGAATGGGGAAAAATATGTTTCTTTAGACCTGCCTAAAATAAATGGATTTATTTTGATGGCATATATTACATGGATTTATTATACTTTTTTATGTAGATTTTCCAAAGGCGTGCATCAGCGGCTTGTGTGCTTGGAGGCCTGGAGATGCTAAACATGTTTATGTTAATTCCTGGTAAATTACAGTGAGACCAGCAGTCATTTTCGAGACCATAACCGGCTGAAAAAAATGTCATGACCACCACAGCCCTAGTTATCTACCATTCATCTCTCCTTGTTCATCTTTGAAATACCCACGTGGGTTTGTATGCTCCTGAAACCAATGATTAGATGGGAGAGGTGGGACTTGCAGTGCGTCAAGGTTCTCAAATGGAACCATGTTCTATTTTACCATCTGGCTACGTCTTTGACGCGCACGAGCGGTGTGGATGAAATGATTGAATAACATTTATGAGTACATTTATTTTGCAACGCTCGTGCATGCAACGTGGCGGGGCTCGTTTGGGTGTAACCAAGTCCACCCTTCACCTGTTACCTGCCTTCACTCACTCACTCTGTGTGTGTGGTCCGTGTCAGGCCAAGACGGACCGTGAGCGGTTCCTGAATGATCTGCGGCGAGACGTTCAGAAGCCGATGGGCTTCGACGCTGTCATGAGGGTCCGAACCAGCACAGGTAAGTGTCTTCATCACGCTCTCACACACTTTCTCTCGCTCACACACTCACTATTTTTTTTTGGGGGGGGGTGGGGTAGATCAGCTTTAATATTGCTGATACAGTGGGGGGGAAAAGTATTTAGTCAGCCACCAATTGTGCAAGTTCTCCCACTTAAAAAGATGAGAGAGGCCTGTAATTTTCATCATAGGTACACGTCAACTATGACAGACAAATTGAGAAAAAAAATTCAGGAAAATCACATTGTAGGATTTTTAATGAATTTATTTGCAAATTATGGTGGAAAATAAGTATTTGGTCACCTACAAACAAGCAAGATTTCTGGCTCTCACAGACCTGTAACTTCTTCTTTAAGAGGCTCCTCTGTCCTCCACTCGTTACCTGTATTAATGGCACCTGTTTGAACTTGTTATCAGTATAAAAGACACCTGTCCACAACCTCAAACAGTCACACTCCAAACTCCACTATGGCCAAGACCAAAGAGCTGTCAAAGGACACCAGAAACAAAATTGTAGACCTGCACCAGGCTGGGAAGACTGAATCTGCAATAGGTAAGCAGCTTGGTTTGAAGAAATCAACTGTGGGAGCAATTATTAGGAAATGGAAGACATACAAGACCACTGATAATCTCCCTCGATCTGGTGCTCCACGCAAGATCTCACCCCGTGGGGTCAAAATGATCACAAGAACGGTGAGCAAAAATCCCAGAACCACACGGGGGGACCTAGTGAATGACCTGCAGAGAGCTGGGACGAAAGTAACAAAGCCTACCATCAGTAACACACTACGCCGCCAGGGACTCAAATCCTGCAGTGCCAGACGTGTCCCCCTGCTTAAGCCAGTACATGTCCAGGCCCGTCTGAAGTTTGCTAGAGTGCATTTGGATGATCCAGAAGAGGATTGGGAGAATGTCAGATGAAACCAAAATAGAACTTTTTGGTAAAAACTCAACTCGTCGTGTTTGGAGGACAAAGAATGCTGAGTTGCATCCAAAGAGCACCATACCAACTGTGAAGCATGGGGGTGGAAACATCATGCTTTGGGGCTGTTTTTCTGCAAAGGGACCAGGACGACTGATCCGTGTAAAGGAAAGAATGAATGGGGCCATGTATCGTGAGATTTTGAGTGAAAACCTCCTTCCATCAGCAAGGGCATTGAAGATGAAACGTGGCTGGGTCTTTCAGCATGACAATGATCCCAAACACACCGCCCGGGCAACGAAGGAGTGGCTTCGTAAGAAGCATTTCAAGGTCCTGGAGTGGCCTAGCCAGTCTCCAGATCTCAACCCCATAGAAAATCTTTGGAGGGAGTTGAAAGTCCGTGTTGCCAAGCGACAGCCCCAAAACATCACTGCTCTAGAGGAGATCTACATGGAGGAATGGGCCAAAATACCAGCAACGTTTGACCTGTGTCATTGCCAACAAAGGGTATATAACAAAGTATTGAGAAACTTTTGTTATTGACCAAATACTTATTTTCCACCATAATTTGCAAATAAATTCATTAAAAATCCTACAATGTGATTTTCTGGATTTTTTTTCTTCTCATTTTGTCTGTCATAGTTGACGTGTACCTATGATGAAAATTACAGGCCTCTCTCATCTTTTTAAGTGGGAGAACTTGCACAATTGGTGGCTGACTAAATACTTTTTTCCCCCACTGTATATTGTAGCTTACATCAATATAATTGTCTGCATCATTTACAATCCCCCATATATTTATATCTATTCTTTCTTCATATATTTTCCTTTATTATGTTCCCCTAACCCTACAACCCTTCCCCTGATTGGAGTAAACTAATGGACAACACAGGCTTCAACTTAGTAGAGATGTATTCAAAGAGAATCATGGCTGTAATTCAAGCAAAAGTTGGTTCCCCCAAGTATTAACTCAGAGGGGTGTTCACTTATCCAAATAGGGTATTTTACTGTTTTAATTGTAATACATTTTCAGATTAGAGAATTTTTTTCGCTTGGATATTGTGGGTTACTGTGTAAATAAAGCCGGAAAAAGTCTGATTTTATGTGTTTTCATTTCAGGCTGTAAGGCAACAAAAGGTGAACATTTTGAAAGGGGTGGTGACTTTTATACCCACTGTATATAACATTCTATTGGTTGCAAAAATTTTGCATTATTTAAATTGGAAAATTCTAAGTTTTGAATCCGGCGGCGTTTTGTATATCAGCTCATAAACCATGTGCCATTGAAGCAGACATTTCTATATATTTTTGTTAGCTGCATGTGTGACAACTCCACCAGTCCTATTTATGATGTCATTTACAAAGATTATATATATTTTTAAATGTATTCAAAAAATATTTATTTTCTTAATCAATTAGTATATTTGAGATCTGATTTTAATAGCTAACATTTCGAGGGCCATAATAAATAGATATGCCTATAGTGGAAAACCTTGCTTTACTCCTCTTGACAGTTTAATACTTTCTGAGAAGTAGACATTATTTAGTATTTTACACCTAGGGTTACTATACATAACTTTTTAAATTTTTTACATTCATATTTTTACATTTTCGTCATTTAGCAGACGCTCTTATCCAGAGCGACTTACAAATTGGTGCATTCACCTTATGATAGCCAGTGGGACAACCACTTTACAATATATATATTTTTTTTTTTTGGGGGGGGGGTGGGGTAAGGATTACTTTATCCTATCCCAGGTATTCCTTAAAGAGGTGGGGTTTCAAGTGTCTCCGGAAAGTGGTGAGTGACTCCGCTGTCCTGGCGTCGTGAGGGAGCTTGTTCCACCATTGGGGTGCCAGAGCAGCGAACAGTTTTGACTGGGCTGAGCGGGAACTGTGCTTCCGCAGAGGTAGGGGGGCCAGCAGGCCAGAGGTGGATGAACGCAATGCCCTCATTTGGGTGTAGGGACTGATCAGAGCCTGAAGGTACGGAGGTGCTGTTCCCCTCACAGCTCCGTAGGCAAGCACCATGGTCTTGTAGCAGATGCGAGCTTCAACTGGAAGCCAGTGGAGTGTGCGGAGGAGCGGGGTGACGTGAGAGAACTTCGGAAGGTTGAACACCAGACGGGCTGCAGCGTTCTGGATGAGTTGTAGGGGTTTAATGGCACAGGCAGGGAGCCCAGCCAACAGCGAGTTGCAGTAATCCAGACGGGAGATGACAAGTGCCTGGATTAGGACCTGTTCCGCTTCCTGTGTAAGGCAGGGTCGTACTCTGCGAATGTTGTAGAGCGTGAACCTACAGGATCGGGTCACCGCCTTGATGTTAGCGGAGAACGACAGGGTGTTGTCCAGGGTCACGCCAAGGCTCTTTGCACTCTGGGAGGAGGACACAACGGAGTTGTCAACCGTGATGGCGAGATCATGGAACGGGCAGTCCTTCCCCGGGAGGAAGAGCAGCTCCGTCTTGCCGAGGTTCAACTTGAGGTGGTGATCCGTCATCCACACTGATATGTCTGCCAGACATGCAGAGATGCGATTCGCCACCTGGTTATCAGAAGGGGGAAAGGAGAAGATTAATTTTGTGTCGTCTGCGTAGATTTGGTTTGGTGTACCTCAACTGGAGTTTTCCAGGACTTAAAGGCTTTAATTGCATCCAGAAGTTCCTCCTCTGTGATTTGACCTTCACATGAGTCTTTCTGTACAGCTGTTCACTTTACATTATTAATATAAAAAAATCCATACAATTTACTTCGGTTAGTGGAGATGGAGGAGACTGAAAAGAAAACATATGCTACATAAGTACTTCGCTTCCTCTTTCAAAATATTGTTTGGTGAATCATGGGTGAAACCGTTACTTGTAAGAAGTTTCAGTAAATTATTTTTGGTATCATTTCTATGTTGGCGATAAAAAAAATAATTTCACCATATTCCATCCAGTTCGCTTTATTTTTTTGAAATATATTACGTTTGATCTTTCTTGAATAAGTTCCTCCATTTATTTTTGTTTTTCCTCTAACTTATTCTGTGCCTCTATGGTACAGTTTTTATTGCTATCTATCTGTACACACTCACTCTTCACCTAGTGGTGTTTCACTGCCATCATAACCTTCTCTCCTCCTCCAGGTATCAGAGCGACAGATTTCTTCGGCTCGTTCTTTATGAGTAATACGACAGACGTGGAGCTGGCAGGACTGGACTGTGACAAGACTGTTACCGTGGAATTCCGCCATGACGACAAGCTCAGCGAGGACACTGGTGCACTCATGCAGTGCGCAGTGTTGTACACCAGCTGTAGTGGTCAGCGGCGTCTGCGGGTCCACAACATGGCGGTCAACTGCTGCTCCCAGCTCGCCGACCTCTACCGTAATTGTGAGACGGACACCATCATCAACTTCTTCTCCAAGTATGGTCAGTATCACACACTCAATATCCATCTATCCCCCTGTTTCTCTATCTATATAGAAGTGAAATTGTGTTCTATGTTTCGAGATTACGTTACTAAGAGAAAGCATGTATAAAGATCAGCAGGGGTCCACTCACCGAACACCTAATTCTACTTTAGATGTGATATACTGTAGATGTGATTGATACCAGTAGGATTCAAACCAACTAAGGGCTTGTCTTTATGTCCGGAAATGGAAACCAATGGTCCTTTTCTCTCTGTGTGTAGCGTACCGCAGCATATTGAACACCCCCACAAAGACAGTGAGAGACACCATGGTAAACCAGTGTGCCCAGATTCTGGCCTGCTACCGCAAGAACTGTGCCAGCCCCTCGTCTGCCGGACAGGTCAGTCACTCACACACACCCCCTATTGGACAAGTCAGTGAAACACACCCCATACACACGCATGATACACACACTCACCCCAACACCATTCAGACACTATACACAAACACTATACATTCACCCTAACAACACACACACACACACACACACACCCACTCACTGCACCTCCTATGACAGTCAGATCGGTCAGTCACACACACACACACACACACACACACACACACACACACACACACACATCAACCCCCCACACACTCGAAAAATATACACACTCAATCCCTTCCCCTCTGTCTTCTCTCCTTTTGTAGCTGATCCTACCAGAGTGTATGAAGCTGCTGCCGGTCTATCTGAACTGTGTGTTGAAGAGCGACGTGCTGCAGCCGGGAGCTGACATCTCATTGGACGACAGAGCCTACCTGAGACAACTGCTCGGCTGTATGGACGTATCAGAGAGCCACATCTTCTTCTATCCCCGCCTACTGCCCCTGGTGAGAGACACTGCTCTCCAACTCGCTCTCTTTCTGTCTCTCAATTCACTTCACTCAGCCTCATTTGGCATGACAAGGCATTATCTTACTTTGCTAAAGTAAACATGTAAGAACATATTACATCAATGTGAAATCAATATGTTAAATCGTATATTAATCAAGTCCATTTCCATCCCAGGTGAAGTTGGATGGAGGGTCGTTGCCAATGGCAGTGCGTAACTCAGAGGAGCGCCTGTCGAAGGGTGGAGTCTACCTCCTGGAGACAGGGCTCCACCTCTTCCTGTGGGTGGGAGCCAATGCCCAGCAGGAGCTGCTCAGTAACATCTTTGGAACGCCCACCTTCAGCCAAATAGACCCCAACATGGTGAGAGACACACACACAGACGTCAACTTCTTAGAAATCATTGTCTTGATTTTAAGTGTGTGTGTGTTGCAATCTCCTAAATGTGTGTGATGTGTTCCAGACGAATCTGCCGGAGCTGGACAACCCGTTCTCCCAGAGACTCCGAGAGATCATCGACTCCTTCAGATCACAACGATCACGATACATGAAGGTCAGACTACACTACATCTCTTTGTCTCGGTCTCTCTCTCTCCTTCTCTTTCTTCCCTCTCTGTATCTTTCCATCTCTATCTCTGTGTTGTCAGGGTTCGATACTGCGACCAAAACAGTCACGTTTGCGACCGTTTGACTTGGCAGTGCAACACACATTTTTAATTGGTCGCAAGGGAACCAGTAATTCGTTTTTTTACCTGGTCACATTAGTTTTTGGTTCACAATTACCTTTTTTTATCATCATGATTTATTCAAAAAGTTAAATCTCGTTTTAAAACATGATACAGTAACCCCTCCATAACTCTTCAACATCTCAAATGGTGAGACTCAAAAGGGGACTCTTGTGCTTTCCCAGAATAATAAAAAAAATGAAGTAAGCTTTATGCGAGTGCGGAGGCATTACACCTTTTGTGAGAATGACTAACTACTACATGGACGAACTTCATTGGTGGTGTGTTTGTGTTTGGAGAAAGCTGTCTATTTAATGCAGGAAAACTGAAATCTCTTACCTAATTTCTACCAGCATGTCACCTGTACAACTAGAGGCGAAAAAACTCTAATCACCTTTACTCCACACACAGAGACGCATACAAAGCTCTCTCTCGCCCTCCATTTGGCAAATCTGACCATAACTCTATCCTCCTGATTCCTGCTTACGAGCAAGAACTCAAACAGGAAGTACCAGCGATGCGCTCAATACGGAAGCGGTCCGATGAAGCGGATGCTTAGCTACAGGACTGTTTCGATAGCACAGACTGGAATATGTTCCAGGATTCATCCAATGGCATTGAGGTGTTTACCACATCAGTCACCAGCTTCATTAATAAGTGCATCAACGAAGACGTCCCCACAGTGACCTTACATACATATTACAACCAGAAGCCATGGATTACAGGCAACATCCGCATTGAGTTAAAGGCTAGAGCTGCCACTTTCAAGGAGTGGGACACTAACCCGGACGTTTATAAGAAATCTCACTACGCCCTCTAACGAACCATCAAACAGTCAAAGCGTCAATACAGGACTAAGATCGAATCGTACTACACCGACTCTGATGCTCGTCGGATGTGACAGGGCTTGCAAACTATCACAGATTACAAAGGGAAAACTAGCCGCGAGCTGCCCAGTGACGCGAGCCTAAGAAACGAGCTAAATGCTTTCTATGCTCGCTTCGAGGCAAGCAACACCGAACCATGTATGAGAGCACCAGCTGTTACGGACGACTGTGATCACGCTCTCTGTAGCCTATGCAAGTAAGACCTTTAAACAGATCAACATTCACAAGGCCGCAGGGCCAGGCGGATTAACAGGATGCATACCCATGTGAGAGACGCAGACTCAGTCTCAACCTTTAAGTCTTTACTGAAGACTTATCTCTTCAGTAGGTCATATGATTGAGTGTAGTCTGGCCCAGGAGTGTGAAGGTGAACGGAAAGGCTGGAGCAACGAACAGCCCTTGCTGTCTCTGCCAGGCCGGTTCCCCTCTCCACTGGGGTTCTCTGCCTCTAACCCTGTTGCAGGGGCTGAGTCACTGGCTTGCTGGTGCTCTTTCATGCCGTCCCTGGGAGGGGTGCGTCACTTGAGTGGGTTGAGTTACTGACGTGATCTTCCTGTCTGGGTTGGCGCCCCCCCCTTGGTTTGTGCTGTGGTGGAGACCTCTGTGGGCTATACTCGGCCTTGTCTCAGGATTGTAAGTTGGTGGTTGGGGATATCCCTCTAGTGGTGCGGGGGCTGTGCTTTGGCGGAGTGGGTGGGGTTATATCCTTCCTGTTTGGCCCTGTCCGGGGGTTTCTTCGGATGGGGCCACAGTGTCTCCGGACCGCTCCTGTCTCAGCCTCCAGTATTTATGCTGCAGTAGTTTATGTGTCGGGGGGCTGGGGTTAGTTGGTTATACCTGGAGTACTTCTCCTGTCTTATCCAGTGTCCTGTGTGAATTTAAGTATGCTCTCTCTAATTCTCTCGTTCTCTCTTTCTCTCTGAGAACCTGAGCCCTAGGACCATACGTCAGGACTACCGGGCATGATGACACCTTGCTGTCCCCAGTCCGCCTGGCCTTGCTGCTATTCCAGTTTCAACTGTTCTGCCTGCGGCTACGAAACCCCTACCTGTCCCAGACCTGCTGTTTTCAACTCTTAATGATCGGCTATGAAAAGCCAACTGAGAGACCTGAGCCCTAGGACCATACGTCGGGACTACCGGCCGTGGTGACTCCTTGCTGTCCCCAGTCCGCCTGGCCTTGCTGCTATTCCAGTTTAAACTGTTCTGCCTGCGGTTATGGAACCCCTACCTGTCCCAGACCTGCTGTTTTCAACTCTTAATGATCGGCTATGAAAAGCCAACTGAGATTTATTCCTGATTATTATTTGACCATGCTTGTCACTTATGAACATTTTTGAACATCTTGGCATGGTTCTGTTATAATCTCCACCCGGCACAGCCAGAAGAGGACTGGCCACCCCTCATAGCCTGGTTCCTCTCTAGGTTTCTTCCTAGGTTTTCGCCTTTCTAGGGAGTTTTTCCTAGCCACCGTGCTTCTACACCTGCATTACTAGCTGTTTGGGGTTTTAGGCTGGGTTTCTGTACAGCACTTCGAGATATTAGCTGATGTAAGAAGGGCTATATAAAATAAAATTGATTGAAAATTGATTGATGCATACTCAGCGCATGCGCTGACCAGCTGGCAATTGTCTTGATTGACATTTTCAACTTCTCCCTGACCCACTCTGTAATACCTACACGTTTCAAGCAGACTCTAGAGGATTTCGCAGAAAAAAACACATGGCACTTTGAAATCTGCAAGAAATACTTTTTGCACTTTATTTTACGTCTCTCTTTTTTTTGTTGATGTTACAGTAAATCTATCCAAATCAATCTAAGAAAACAAGGGCATGCTAATTTAAAAGATGGCTAGTCATTATTAGCTTGGTTCTGTATTGAAAGCAGGCACATTATGGGACACAGGCCCATTGTTATTAATCATCATTATCAACTAAATCATGTGCTTCTGCATTGCGTGCTGTTTGGGGTTTTAGGCAGGGTTTCTGTATAAGCACTTTGTGACATCTGCTGATGTGAAAAGGGCTTTATAAATTAATTTGATTGATGTGCTTGTGCCACCAACTGAAAGTTGGAAAAAGTAAGTGGAGATCCCTAGTTGTGGTACAGAAGTATAACGTGTGTGTGTTAACATCTCTTTCTCTCTCTCTCTCTCTGTGTCTGTAGTTGATGGTGGTGAAGCAGGAGGACAAGGCGGAGCTAATCTTTAAGCACTTCCTGTGCGAGGACAAGAGCGCCAGCGGAGGAGCGTCCTACGTCGACTTCCTGTGTCACATGCACAAGGAGATCCGTCAGCTACTCAGCTAGGACCCTGACTTCTGACCCTTTAACCCTGACCCCGTCACCTCTCAACCCCCCCTCCCCCTGATGCGCTTTCTTTTATTTACCTAATAAACTTAACCCCTCCCCCTCTGTCAGCAAGAGGCCAGAGACATATACACAGCCTCATGGCAGATTCCGTGTATGTGTGTCCTCATACGACTCTACTATTCCAAACGTCAAGCTCTAAAACAACTGGAGCTGATCCACTGGCCAGTGGAGGAGTGTGTGTGTGTATTTGTGAGAGAGAGTGTGTGTGTGTGAGGGAGAGAGTTGCTGTTGATTGTAGTAGGTGTTCAGTCTGTAACACTAGCACTGAAAGGCTGTTGTGGGTGTACCGGCCCGTTGGTAGAAACTCACTCTTTTTGTATGATTCAGACCCAGTAGAGCTAAGGAAGATGACTTAAACTACATGACACGAAATAAATGCTGTTTTTTCCATCTCTATAATTATTTTTCTATTTGGCTTATTCTCTCTCCCTCTCTGACATTGCCTTACTCCCCCTTTCCTCTGTGACTTTTACAAACACTACTGAGGCAATAGGAGAAAGAGAGAGGGAGGAGTGTATAGAGATAATCTGTGATTGAGGTTAAACTCCCAATAAAAGTCTATGCATCTAATCATCAAGAGGCGAGGGGTTTGAACTTTCAACCAGTGTGGGGGTCCCACTATGACTCACACTCACACAGTATAGACTGTTTGGTGGAGGTGTGTGTGTGTATCATGTTGTTTACTAACGTGTGTATCTGATAGACACCATTCTCTGACATGATGCCTGTTCCCTGTTTGTCTTCCTGGCTGTATTGTCCTGTCTGTGAAGGGAAGGAGTGACTGGCTGTGCTTCTCAAAATTGAGGTCAGTCAGAGAAAAAGTGATGAGAATAATAGTGGGTCGCATGGTCATGTTCAGTAGGCACGAAACAGGAGAAAACTATTTGAAACAGGGAAGTACTTTTGTTTTGTTTTCCGTAGCAGAATGTTTTGCTACGTTGTACCTTGCTGAACATGACCCTGTTCTCTACATACAGCTGTGTCTCTGAGTTGTCCCACACTGAGAACTGTCTGCTATAGAACCTCAGTTCATATTTAGATATATAACCTACGTATATAACCTGTACAGAATTAAATCCTCCGTTTTAAACACCTGTGTCAAATGCTGTGGTTTGTCAGTCCTATCCGTTGCTGCCGCTCACACAAAATCAGTCGTGCTTTTTGTTCTGTCGCTAGGTGTGCAGCATAGTCTACTGTGTGTGTGAGAGAGCGAGAGAAGGTGGATGTGTGGGTTTCTGGAGGCATATCCTGGTGAATTTCTCTAAACTAGAGGAAAAGAGGGATCCGCCGATACATGGACTTTTGCATTTATTTTCGTTCTCATGTCTTAACACAGTGTTTGTGTGCTGCCCTCTTCTCTGACCCATCTCTCTGTTGAATGGCCCTTCTTTCTGACTGACCGTGATTTTACGTTTTCCTTTTCTCTTTGTTTTTGTCATTGCCTCCTGGACTGTTAATAAAATTATCGTTGAATCACCATGCCATGCTTCTCCCATCCCTGCTCTCATTGGCTTGTTGGTACTATGGTTACAGTAGACCCTAAGGGACCTTTTCCTAGCCAAACTGTCACTCATAAATTGCACCCTATAAGACTGAACAAGTAGTGCACTATATACAGTTGCAGCCACATATATTGGCACTGTTGCACTTTTCTAAAATAATTCCCTATTCTAAAATGATGTGAAATTGAGAACTTTTGGTTTCCACACCTTACTGGATTTTCAACATTGCAGAATTTTATTTTTGTAAACTTAAGTTATTGGCAACCCGGAGCTAGTACTTGGTTGCACAGCCTTTGGCCAAAATAACTGCAGACAAACGCTTCTTGTAACATCAATGGGCTAGCTGCGCCTTTCTACTTGCAATTTGGCTCACTCTCCAGCGGCAAACTGTTCTAATTCTTCAATGTTTGAGGGTTGCCCTCCACCAACTGCTGTTTTCAGCTCTCACCATAGATTTTGGATAATGATTTAGATCTGGACTCTTGGCTGGCTACTCCAGCACAGTCAAGCGTTTCTTCTTGAACCGTTCCTGGGTGCTTTTGATGTGTGTTTGGGGTCACTGGGTTGAACATTGGACTCAACACCAGATATCCTGCTGATTTCAAGATGCCTTGCGCACATTCAATGCCCCCAGTACCAGAGGCAGCAAAGCAACCCCACAGTATTATCAAACCACCCCCATGTTTGATTGTAGGGAGGGTATTATTTTCATTGAATGTTCCATTTGGTCATCGTAAACACAGCTCTGATCTGTATTGTCAAAGGGCTGTAATTTTGTTTCATTGGTCCAGATAACATTTTCCCCAGGATTTAGACTTGTTTAGGTGGGTGTTTGAGAAGTTCAGCATTGGGACAGCATTGTCCTTAACTTTTTTCCGTAGTCCTTTAAGCTCAGTCATTACTTCAGTGAATGAGCCATCTGGGGCAGTATTATTGGGAATTAAGGTGCAACACTCATCCCCAAACATAACACAAACTGCACCTTTTTCTGCTAAAAGACAGTTTAGAGCCTGCCTATTCTGCCAGGTCATTCTACTTGTTGCCTGTACTTGCTCTCCCAGAGCTGTTAGCGCAGAGTCTGTGTAATTAGTAAACCTCTGTTTTTGATAAGTTCAGCAGTGGGGGCTTCCTATGTTTACCAAATGAAACATTCAACAAAATAACACCCTCCCTATAATCAAAAATAGGGAAGGTTTGATAATGTTGAGTTTATTTGCTGTCTCTGGTACTAGGGGCCTTGAACAAATGCAAGACATCATGAAAACAGCAGATTACCAAGGTGTTTTGGAGTGCAATGTTCAACCCAGTGTCCAAAAACTGGGTCTCTGTTGAAGGATGGAGTGGCCAGCGAAGAGTCCAGATCTGAATCACATACATAACCTATGGCGAGAGCTGAAAAAAGAAGTTGGTGTAGGACACCCCACAAACGTTCAAGAATTAGAGCAGTTTGCTGCTGAAGACAGGAACAAATTGCCAGTAAAAAGGTGCAGCAAGCTCATTGATGGCTACAAGAAGCATTTGTCTGCAGTTATCTTTGACAAAAGCTGTGCAACCAAGTACTAGATCCAGGGGTGCCAATAATTTTGTCCATGCCAAATGCCAATTGTCTTAAGTTTACAATTTTAATTTAGAAAATAAAGTGTACTAAAATAAAATGGTTCTGTAATGTTGAAAATCCAATAAGGTGTGGAGACAAAGTTATTTTAAAAGAAGTAGGGAATTATTTTAGAAAAGTGTAAGGGTGTCAATGAAAATAGTGCCAAAAGTATTGAGACAGTGACAATTTCTTGTTGTTGTCCAGCACTTTGGATTTCAAATGACACAATGACAGGTTAAAGTGCAGACTGACAGCTTTAATTTGAGGGTATTTTCATCCATATCTGGTGAACCGTTTAGAAATTACAGCAATATTTGTACATAGTCCCCCCCACCCATTTTAGTGGACCAAAAGTATTGGGACAAATTCCCTTATGTGTATTAAAGTAGTCAAAAGTCAAGTATTTGGTCCCATATTCCTAGCATGCAATGATTACATCGTGGATGCATTTGCTGTTTGTTTTGGTTGTGTTTCAGGTTATTTTGTACCCAATAAAAATGAATGGTAAATCATGTATTGTGTCTTTTTGGAGTCACTTTTATTATAAATAAGAATATAATATGTTTCTAAAAACTTCTACATTAATGTGGATGCTACGATGATTACGGATAGTCGTGAATAATGATGAGTAAGAAAGTTAGACGCACAAATACCATACCCCAAGACATACTAAGCTCTCACCATTAAAATAACATGGGAGGTTAGCATTTTGGGGGGGGGCTTCCTGTAGCTCAGTTGGTAGAGCATGGCGCTTGCAATGCCAGGGTTGTGGGTTCGATTCCAACGGGGGGCCAGTATGAAAAATGTATGCACTCACTAACTGTAAGTCGCTCTGGATAAGAGCGTCTGCTAAATTACTAAAATGTAAATGTAAAATGTATGATATTTATGCCTCTAACCTTCTCACTCATCATTATTCACGATTATTTCAGGATTATCCGTAATCATGGTAGCATCCACATTAATATAGAAGTGTTTAGAAACATTCTATTCTTATTTACAATAGAAGTGACTCTAAAATGACACAATACATTATTAACCATTAATTTCTATTGGGCACAAACTAATCTGAAACACAACCAAAACAAACAGCAAATGCATCCAACAAGTTTGTAGAGTCACAAGCTTGATGTAATCACAGTGATGGAAAAAGTACTCAATTCTCATACTTGAGTAAAAGTAAAGATACCTTAATAGAAAATGACTGAACTACTTGAGTAAAAGTCAAAGTATTTGGTTTTAAATATACTTAAGTATCAAAATATAGTTGCTAAAATATACTTAAGTATCAAAAGTAAAAGTAAAAGTACGAATCATTTAAAATTCCTTATATTAAGCAAACCAGACGGTACAATTGTCTTGTTTTTATTTATTTACGGAAAGCCAGGGTCACACTCCAACACTCATTTACAAACAAAGCATTTGTGTTTAGTGAGTCCGCCAGATCAGAGGCAGTAGGGATGACCAGGGATGTTCTCTTGATAAGTGTGCGAATTGGACCATCTTCTGTCCTGCTAAGCATTCAAACTGTAACGAGTACTTTTGGGTGTCAGGGAAAATGTATGGAGTAAAAAGTACATCATTTTCATTAGGAATGTCGTGAAGTAAAAGTAAAAGTTGTCAAAAATATAAATAGTAAAGTACAGATACCCAAAAAACTACTTAAGTAGTACTTTAAAGTATTTTTTACATTGCATGCTAGGAATATGGGACCAAATACTAAACTTTTGACTACTTTACTACACATATAAGTGAATTTGTCCCAATACTGTTGGTCCCCTAAAATGGGGGGGACTATGTACAAAAAGTGCTGTAATTTCGAAACGGTTCACCCGATA